AAAATGGAAATGAAATCTATGTAAATAGGGAAGGGTGGAGGGGGTGAAGGGAGCATAGGTAATGGGGAAAAAATAGGAATTTATATCATGTACAGGTACAAACACCCAATGATAAATGTAAATGAATTGTATACCTAAAATGTTCCAATAGAATGTACCAATAGATTTTTTTTTTAAAAAAAAAGCCTGTCAGCTATCAGTACGATGCAAAATATAAAACATGATCTTGGAATATTTGACAGTAACATAAAATGAGGAAGAACTAAGAGAAAAGAAATAATGAGTATAATATCTAAGTGACACAAAATTGGTCTGAAAGAGATCTCACTAATGAAAACTGAAACAATTTGAACAACAAAATAATATAATGTTTCATTATAACCCAAGCATGAAATAAATGTCCACAAGACCATACTGATATAGAAGTGATTGAACAAGTAAACTGTGGAAAGTGACTAATCTTCCCTGAATCAGACTTTCGACTGCTGTCTGTGGACCTTCTATCCTCAGTGAGGAAGAACACAGTTCTGTACTTCTAAAGAACGGGCTGAGGCAGTGACCTTGAAAGCATACTGCCTAGAAACCAGGGGATGAGTACCCCTCCTGTGGGGAAAGCCTACCACAGATACAAGTCAACATGGACCTGAGAAGTTATGTTGGTAGCAGATATTCTTGATATGGTGAGATGAAAATTATAATTCTGTGGTCTTATTTGCATATAATAATTTTCTCATCATGGAAAAAATATAATACTTATAAAACACATAGTTGTCTAATACTGAAAAAAATCAGACGAGTATCAAATCAGGGGCATTCTACAAAATACCTGACCAGTACAATACTTGTCAAAACTGTCAAAAACATTAAAACTAAGGAAAGTCTGAGACATTTTTGGAACCAGATTGAACTTTTACAGTCTAGTATCCTGGGAAGGATCCTAGAACAGAAAGAGTACAGGAGGAAAAACCTAAGGGTATCTGAATAAAGTATAGACTTCAGATAATAGTAATGTCTTCATATTGATTCCTTGTGGACTTCACTTTAAAAGGTGTTAGTATCAATTCATTATTTATAACAAATACAATATACAAATGTACAATGTTAATCAGAGAAAACATAAAGACTCACTATCTTTGCAATGTTCTGTGAATATGAAATAGTTCTACATTAATAGTTTATATTATTTTTAAAGTTTATTTTAAAGTGTTATCGTTGTTTTTTGAATCTTTTCACAAAGATCTAAAGACGTAAGACACTGCTTTTCCTGAAATTTAATTACATTGAAGATGACATGTTTTTGGTTCTGAGGCTACCTTTAATAAGAAATATGTAGTCTTCTGGTGTAAACCAGAAGCATAACAATGTATTAAGAGGAAACTTGCTCCATATATCATAATTAGGATAATCGTAACTTGACCAAACTTCTGAAACACACAAAACCACTTATGTTTAATTCATGTTAAATATAGGCAATACATTACTAATTCATTGAATATAATATTCATATAAAGTAGAATCTACTAGCTATTGCATGTCATTTATTATTTGTAATGCCTCCTATTAAAGTACTGAGATGCTTGGCTTTCTTTTTGAAGTGCCATAGGGAAGAGCATGATGAAAACTTTCCTCATTTTGCAAAACACATTTCTGATTTTACTCCTATGTTGTAACCGATTTGATTTATAAAAGGCAATTTGAATTGTCAATCACTGTCTAGGCATGGTTTAAGACATGAATTTTGCTTAGAATAGTATGAACTACACAATTTTACTTTCAACGAAGAGTTCCTACTTTCAAATTTTACAAGTAATAAAACTTTCCAAGAAGAATCTAATTCATCACAGAAAACATGACAGTATTCTTTCAATTATAAAAATATGTATGCTTTTGAAAGATACTCGTTATTTTTCATTGGAGTGAAAGTAACAATACATTAGTTCCTTAGAGCAAAAGCAATTTGAACCATTGTTTTCTACTGACAGAATAAACCAAAAATGTGCCTTTAAATAATTAAGTACACAAAAAAGCTTGTATAATTATTTAATGAGCTATTACATGTACATGTAAGTAGAATATTTCAGACTAAATGCTGGAAAATTTGCAAATATTAATATCTTCAGGGAACATATATGCATGTGTGCATTGTTATGAAATAACAATTTTAATTATCTTATCCTGAAGCAGTGCAAAAATTCTTAGTTTGAATTTTTTTCTATTTACATTTACTATATTATTACTTCTGAAATTAAAGTTTTTATTGTTGCTTTTAATTGTTGTTTCTCTAAATTTAGGTATCATTGAAGAGCTAGGCAGGGGTAGGTCCTTTCACCTTATAAAATCTTTACAGTGTACACTTAGTGGTGTGCTTTAGAACTATGTAACCAAATACCTAGTATTGACCTTCTCTTCTGGAAACTTCTTTTCTCTGCCTAAACTATAACTGCTTTTGAAGGAGTTGGCATATACTTACAAACATTGTCTACCCCTTGCCCTCCAGTTGAAGAAAGTGATTCTAAGACGTATGCCTAAAAAATACGACCAAGGAGTCCTACCTCACAAAATCTGGCCCTGACTATAAGAACATGCTTGTCTCTGCCATGAATGTACCTGCAATCTATAAAACACTGAAGTAATATTTTTCATGTTGTAGAGGAAGATAGTCCATAGAGAATAAAGTATATAGCACATCACTTGGAAATGCAATTCACCATTATATACATAATTACAATATTGGATTGAGTTCCTCTTCTTTCTAAGGCTGCCTTCCTGCACTATTTCTTTAGCAGATACCTGCAGGAGACTGCAATATTGATTACGCCCAAAGCAGGCTGTAAGCAGTGCAGGCTGTGAAGAGTTAACTCCACAATTGGCTTGTTTATACAGTCAGTCCTGCCACAGCCTACATGCCAAGGTCAAAGTTACTCACATCCAAATTCCATTCCCACAATTAAAACTTTCTTAATTAGAAGGACAGTGTTCTAATTACAACCATATATTTTGTCTATTTTGTTCCTAATTTGAGAATGCTTTGTTTTGTCCTTTATGAGCCTTGTTTACATTAATTCCCATAAAAACTGTAAGACTGTGCATTTTCTCCCATAGTCCTGTCCTTGCACATAGCTTTCCCTTACCCCAGTTGATTACCAATAAAAATCAGTGCTTTGGACTGGCTAGTGCCTTTGATAGTTGTTCCAGCATTGGTCAACTTGGCACTCCACTTTCTGTCTCTCTTAGTTCTGTCTTTTAGTTTTATTCCCTGCCCCCCAGGCCTGTGTCATACACTGAGAAGGAGACTGGAGCCTACTGCCGAGGTTTCCAGTAATGTGTCAGAGGTCCCTGGTAAACACCATTTTTTCTCCTTTAGTTCCCCAGTTCTTACCTGTTATGGGAGCTCATTTCTCAGCTTCTCATTGTTTTCTGTTAATTACTCAAACCCATGTGCAACCTTCTTCAAAAACTGTCTTTGGTCTTGGGGGCCTCTCAGCTATTTGGGAAGCTTCAAGAAAGCATACATAATTAAAACAGATTATCTTAATGCTTGTCTAATGTTTGGATATAAAATTTTACCCTTTTGCATAGATGAGAAACAAACTCTAAGGTATAATTTATACTCCAGACTTCCTTGAAGGACCACAGTGACTCTAGGACCTTACCTAAGATTTGAGTGAGCTGAACAATATTGAGCATAACGTATAGCATATACCAAGAGTCACATATTATCTGCCTCACCACATCTTGGAGTTATAGGGGACTGCCCTCTTCCCCTTCTGCATTCTCATTAGTTTCTGATCATCAATGCTTTTGTATACAGCATCTGTCTGTATCTATACAGACTTATTATGAATATCGCCAGTTGCTGTACCTTGTGTAAATTGCTTTACTGGCAATTTACCATATTATCATGGTAGACTTTAATTTTTATGATTAAGTTAAAACCAGATATAATGTATTTCATGTCTTTATAACAGGCTTGGCATTGAAAAAGAATAATTAATAAAGAGATTATTTCAGTGTAAAATAAACTTTGTTCTACTCAAAACATGAAGTAAAAATGTCAAATCTTTATGAAATTTTAACCTAATTATTAAAAATATAAAATATTGTCCAAGAAGGTGAGCTGGTCCCAGCACCCGGAAGGAAGCTCCCCCGCTACCATCCCAGGCTCCTAGGGCCAAGAAGGTGAGCTGGTCCCAG